ATATATATACACAAATTCACATATAAATACATATATACACACAAACATACATATATACGTAAAAAAACATATTATGATGAAATTAGCTATTAACACAGATTAACTAAGATGATGACGCCAACTTAGGAGTTCTTTACGACTTTCAGAAAATGTTCTTTAACATAATTTTTAAATGTTACTTTGTTGGAGCGTTGTCTCAAAGTTTCAGGCAGTGCATTCCAAAGTCGCGCAGCTCGTACAGCAAACGAGGAAGAAGAGAAACCGGAACAATTAAGTGGAATGGAGAGCGTAAGAGTCTCCGAAGAACGTAAAGGTCTATTATGCGTATCAGATAGAAATTGAAACTTACGTTTCAAATAGTCGGGACAACGATTGTCGAATAAAATAGAAAAAAGTGTGAGAAGTGTCCTGACTTGCCTCCGTTGGCGAATGGGAAGCCAATTTAGCTGAAATCTAAAGGAGGAAACATGGTCAAACTTGCGAAGACAGAAGATGAATCGGACACAGTTATTTACGAGACGATCCAGCTTGTCTAGAAGATTCTCATTAAGATCAGTACAACACACATCAGCATAATCAATAATGGGCAAAATAAGAGACTGCACCAGAGTTATCTTTACCTTGACCGGAAGGAAGTTTCTAAGGCGATTTAGGGCACCCAACTTAGCAGTAACTGAAGCACTTATTGTTTGAATGTGAGAGGACCAATTGAGAGTTGAGTCCATACAGAGGCCTAGGTTTTTCACAGTGCTGGAATAAGGGATGCATGATCCATCAAACATGACAGGAGCGACAGAACAAATATCAAGTTTAGATAACTGACGAGCACTTCCTATCAAAATTGCTTGGCATTTGTTAGGATTCACTAGAATGCCAAATTTGCTAGCCCAATTGCTTAAATTTAATAAATCTGTATTAATATTGATAACAGCATTATTAATGTGATCCACATCAGTCTGAGTATAAATTTGCAAATCGTCGGCGTAGAAATAGTAAGAGCAGCAAAGTTGAGAGGAAAGGAAGTTAATAAAAATAGAGAACAATAAAGGAGATAATATTCCACCCTGTGGCACCCCAGATACAAGCTGACACCAGTCAGACAAATGATTACCAACTCGAACAGCTTGTTGGCGACCACAAAGGTAGGAAGAGAACCAATTTAAAGCAATGGAGGAGAAGTTTAGATTACCGAGCATAGCGAGGAGAATATCATGGTCAACCATGTTGAAGGCATTAGAAAAGTCCACGAGAACAAGCACAGTGACCTTTCTACTCTCCAAGCCATCCCGAAAGTCCTCTGTAACTTTAAGAAGTGCAGTGGTGGTGCTATGTCCGGGACGAAAGCCCGACTGAAATTGAGTGAGCAAGTTATTATTATATATAAAACCTGATACTTGCCGGTGAACTATAGATTCCAGGATCTTTGATAAGAATGGAAGAATAGAGATAGGTCTATAATTATTGAGTTGCAAGGGGTTTGAAATTTTAGGAAGCGGAATTATATAGGCTTTACACCACAAAGAAGGAAATACCCCTGACAACAGAGAAAAATTAATGATGTGAGTAATGACTGGAAGAAAGAGTTCGAGAACTAAAGAGATCATAGCACGACTCACATTATCACAACCCACTGCTTTTGATTTAATAGAAGCAAATGTTTTACGAACATCGTTAACAGAGACAAGCGAGAATAAGAAGGGTATTTGTAAAGGTTTGGCCTTGGAATTAATTTCTAAAATTGACTGGGACTTAATAACTGAAGAGAGTGAGGAACCTGTAGAAAAATAGGAATTTATGTCATTTAGAGGGAATGGGATGTTATGTTTCATAGTGGAGGATTTACATAGACCAAGAGAATTAAGAAATTTCCAAGTATCCGCCGAAGAAGCACTAGATATATTGTCAAAGAAGTAACGACGCTTTGCCGCCCTTACCATTTGGTTGCAACGATTGCGAGCAATTTTGTACAAGTCCCAATTCTCATTGCTCCTGTCACGCTTAAACCTTCTGAAAGCTCGGTTGCGTCGAGTCATCGCCATGCGCACACCCTTCGTTATCCACGGAGCTGGTGGCCGCTTAGCCCTAATAGATTTCACCGGTGCATGCGCATCAAACAGTTTCAGTGTTAATTTAGTGAAAATAGATACTTTATCGTCAACTGATGACGCACAATACACAGGCGAGAAGTCGATGGCCTTTGCATCAATCAGAAGCTTCGTTGGGTTAACTTTATTGTAACAGCGAACCAAAAGTATCTCGGGTTCAACTTTTGCAAACTTCAACCTATATGCAAGGTAAAGTAAATCATGACGCGAAAAGCCGGAAGCTGACAACTGACCATATTTATTGACTAGATTAGGACAGGACGTGATTATTAGATCTAGCCAGGTATCCGGGGAGTCAAGGTTATGGTGAGTAGGAGAGCAGGGAAGGATGGATAAATTTACTGAAGACAAGATATTTATGAGCTTACTTGATTGCAAAGAAGTTTTGAGGAGGTCAGTATTGAAGTCGCCCATGATAATGTGATGTGTATAGTCTGCACATACAGAATCTAAGACCACTTCTAGGCTGGAAAAATAATCAACAGAAGGAGGACAGTAAACAACCCCAAGTGCTAATTTGGAACGCCCCACCTGAATTTCCAAGAATAAATATTCAGCCGAAGCAGAGTATTGTGAAGGTGAGGATGCAATTACAGAATAACGTAAGTCGGACCGTAGATAAATTGCAACACCTCCCCCACCCTTACCTAATCTATCATTTCTAATCAAGACAAAGCCTGGTAAGCTGTAAGAAACATTTGAAAGAGAGGGCTTCAGCCAGCTTTCAGAAATTAGAATGGCCTGCACATTTGAAGAGGCAGAAGTGAAAGTATCTAAAAGGTCAGAGTAATGAGAGGGTATGCTCTGTGCATTCAAATGGCAGACTTTAAAAGAAGAGGGGAGATGTTCTAAAGATTTATCATGCACGTTGCGGAGAATTTCCGGCTCATCGAAAGAGTCAAGGCTTGTTGAAGAATCGTTAGCAGAATAGAATGATTCATCATCGGACATTATAAACAAATATACATAAATAAGTACAATATAAAATATAAGTAAATATCAAAATAACACGTATATATTATAATAAAATAAAAAGGCAATATTATGTCTACTACCAATCCCGCCGGTTAACCATAACAGAATATTTAAACAGCATTATTTTATTTTCAATTAGTGCAAAAAGAAAAAAAAAATCTGGACATCATTGATCACAAATAACAAATCAATAACATAAGTATTAAAAACTAAGATAATGACATCAAGCAAGCGATTATTACAAATTAGTAATTATTTAGTGAAACTTTAGTACGATATCCTATACATAAATAACTTATTACTTACTAAATAAAAACTTAGGAGAAACACATTAAAACAAAATTCGAAAACAAACATAACAATAGGCTGCTGGCGCGCCGCCTGCGCGCGCACTACCTGCGCTGCCTGCGCGCGGGGCTCGCCGCCGCCTCCGCCACCGAGTTCTGCGCCGCCGACGGCTACGCCACGCTCGCCGCGCACCACTACTTCTGCGCAGCGGTTGAAGAAGAAGACGCGTCACTCATCGTAGAAGCTTTGAGTCTGCTGGAGTTCACGCTGCACAACTCGCCTGCCAACTTCCATGTGAAGCTTCTGCTCATCAGCCTATACCACATACTCGGCGGGTGCAACGGCGCCGAGGCAGCGTGGTCGCGGCTGGAGGCGAAGCACGTGCAGCTGGCGTCGCTGGGCTGGCTGCACGCCGCGCGCCTGCCCGCCGCCGCGCCGCGCCTCGCGCACCACCGCCTGGCGCAGGCGCACGCCATCTACACGCACCACGCCAACGACAGCGCGGAGCACGTGACGTACGCGTACAAGTACGGCACGTTCGAGAAGCTGGTGGAGCTGGGTGCGTGGCACGCGCGGCTCGCGGGCTGCGCCTGGGCGGCGCTGCTGCCGCGCGAGCGCGCGCTGCTGGCGCTGCAGCTGTCCGCGCCCCCCGCACCCCCCGCCCTGCTGCCGGACCTGCCCGAGCACCTCACTGACAACCGCAACCTGAGGGCGATAGTGAGTTGGGATCCGCCGCAGAGCGTGGATGCGGAGGTGCGGTCGCGCACGTTCTCGCAGGAAGTTGCGTACGTGCGGCTCAAGGATGCGCTGCTGCGCGCCAAAGCGCTCTGCGGCGAGGCTGCCACCGCCAGTCGCGGCCAGCTGCCACAGCTGCTGCTGCGCCTAGACACTTGCATACAAACGTTCAGCGAAGCGATGCAGCGCTGCAGGCACGAGTACAGCAAGAGAGAGAAGATTTCTATATCAACGCCTCTGCCATCTAGGTTATTTGCGCTGGTGGGCAGCGCGGTGCCGTACGGCGCGCTGTACGCGGCTGCGCTGCGCGTGGCGCGCACCGTGTGCACGCGGGGCGGGCAGCGGGGCGGCGGGCGGCGCGGGCAGCGGCGCGGTGAGCCAAGTGGTGCAGGCGCTGCGGCGGGAGCTGCGGGACGCGCGGGGCGCGCTGGCGACCGGCGCGCCCGCGACCGCCTGGCAGCTGCGCGACTCCCTCGAGCACCTCGCCAACTTCCTAGAGTTCGTGGGTGTAGTGACGTACATAATGGGCGTGTGCCACGAGGTGGTCACGCCTGCCAACTCCAAGAAAGCAAAGAAGAAACCCAACCAGTCGCAGGATGAACTCGAAACCTCCCACTTACTCAACGAATTGAATCAAGAAATTATCGACCTTCTAGTGTTCATGTCGGACCACTTGGACTCGTGGCCACACTTCGAATACGAATCGAACATTGAGCAGCAGCTGTTGAAACTGAATATTAGCGAGAGCTACGAGTGCCCCGTCGCGTCCAGGCTGAAGAAGGGTTACCAGGAGACCATACGCTACAGCAAAGACACGCTAGAAGCCAAAGCAAAACACCTTAAGAGTTTGCAGTGAGCTGCGCTATTGTTACTAACTTTGCGGGAGTGCGAGTGTTGTTATACATATCGTGTACATTGTGTGTTGTTGCCGACTGTCCACTCGAACGACTGTCCGGGTTTACAATTACAGTGGTAACCGTTGACTAATTGGACGCAATCCTGCGTGCCGGGGTTCGAGCACGGGTTGGAGAGGCATTCGTTGATATCGCCCTTGCATCTCGGTCCGACGAAACCTGGGGGGCATTTGCACTCGAACCCGCCGACTTTGTCTATACACGTGCCGTTGTTGTGACACGCGTCCTGTTTGCAGTCATTTACGTTTATCTCACAGATCTTCCCGAGAGTTCCAAAGGGGCAGGAGCAGGAGAAGTTGTTGATCAGATCGTGACAGGTTCCTCCGTTCTGGCACGGGTTAGGGAGGCAGTCGTTGACGTTCAGCTCGCAGTTCTGTCCTTGGAATCCCTTGGCGCATTGACACTGGTAAGTTGCTACGAGGTCCTTGCACAGGGCTCCATTCTGACAAGGCGCGGAGTCACACTCGTTGATCTCCTTCTGGCAGTAGGACCCGGTGTAGCCGTCCAGACAGTGGCAGCGGTGTGAGTTACCGATGTCCTCACAAGTACCGTTGTTGCACAGTTGTTTCAGTTTGACACCTTTCCTGAGCGCGGCGTCGTTGCAGGAGACCATCTGCACGTCGCACAGCTTGTTGTGGGTAGTCTAAAGGAAACCGCCTTTATTAATAAAGACAGTTGTCATCTGAACTCTGTTGTTTCATTGTCACTACATGGTGGCAGCGGTTAAAATACCTAAATAGTTTTGGATTTTACGTTTGAATAACTTTAATTTGTATTCTAAATTAAGTGTAAAGGATGGAGCATGCAAGACCGCCAACCGAATTGAGTTTAGATGGCAGCCCCGTCGGCCGGGCTGACGCATGGAAGCGGTGGAAGGCACAATTCAATCTTTTTCTTAAAGCATCGGGGGTGCACAAAGAAGAGGGAAGCATACAGGCGAGTTTGCTCATTAATCTGATTGGATCAGATGGATTTGATATTTGTTTATGAGACTTTTACATTCGATTCAGAAGAGCAACGTGAGGACATCGAAATATTGATGAAAAAATTTGACGAGTATTTCGGTGTTCAATCTAATATAACATTACTGAGATATAATTTTTTTACGAGGTATCAAGAAACTGGAGAATCTATTGATCAATATGTAACAGCGTTAAAGTTACTCAGTAAAAACTGTGAATTTAAAAATTTTGAGCAAGAGTTGATTCGCGACCGTATTGTGTGCGGCATAAGGAGCACAATTGTAAGGGACCGGTTGTTACGGACAGATGAATTGACTCTGGAGAAAGCAATTAAAATATGTCAAGCTGATGAAATGTCAACAGGCAGCAAGCGTGTGATGGAAACAGGTAGCTTCGGCAGTTCGGCGAGCTGCGGGCCCGTGCGCGTTGAGGCGCTGGCGATGCGCGGTGGCGAGCGGCGCGGTGGCGGACGCAGCGGCGGGCGCGGCGGCCGGCGCGGCGCGCGAGCTGCGCACGGCGGGACCGCGACGTCGCCTTGTCCGCGTTGTGGTGCTCAGTGTACTGATGTAGATTCATGTCCAGCTATTTCGGTGAAATGCTATGTGTGCGGTAACTACGGCCATTACGCTAGGATGTGCAAATGTAAAAATAGTGTTAAAAAAATGTATGAAATAGAAGTGAATACAGAAAAATCTAATAATGATGATTGTGAGTCGTTTTATGTATCTGTGTTAATGGACAAAACGCAGAACAAAATCGGCGGCGATGACTGGTACGAGGTATTAAGAGGTGAGTGTGGCTTTGAACGTTTTAAGCTGGATACCGGTGCCGACATTAATGTGTTATGTTATAAGAGATTTTTAACGCTAGGGTTTGACACGGAAATGATATGCAATAATAATAAAATGAAATTACAGCCGTTTAGCGGGGATGTTATTCCGATAAGAGGAGTTTGTCATCTTAAATGGTGGCATAAATTTAATAAAGATAAATGTCGTATATGCGTTGAGGAAGTGACTTACTTGGGTCATATATTTAACAAAAACGGGATGAAACCAGATTTAGAAAAAGTAAAAGCAATAAAAAATATGCTAACTCCAAAAGAACGAAAATCATTAGAACGATTTTTAGGAGCCGTAAATTATTTATCTAAGTTTATACCTAAGTATTCTGAGCGTATTTTTCCGCTTACTCGATTATTGAAAAAGGACACAGAATGGTGTTGGGAGAGTGAACAACAGAATGCGTTTGATTTATTAAAATATTTAATAAGCAAATCACCCGTGTTGGCTTTATATGACGTATCGCAACCGGCTGTAGTTTCGGTAGACGCGAGCAGTGTAGCGCTAGGAGCCGTGCTGTTGCAGGGCGGCCGACCTATTGAATATACTTCATGTACACTCACCGACACACAGACACGATATGCGCAGATAGAAAAAGAAATGCTAGCTATTCTCTTTGCGTGTGAAAAGTTCCACCAATATATTTACGGTAAAAGTGATGTTTTAATTGAAAGTAAGTGTTAGGGATTTAGGCGTAATTTTTGATCATAAAATGATACTATCCGAACACATTGATTACGTTATCAGTAAAGCCTATAAAAATCTTGGTTTTATTCTTCGCATCTGTAAACCATTCTCGAATATTAATACAATTAAAATGGTTTATTTTGCATATGTCAGAAGTGTTTTGGAATATGCTAGTTCAATATGGTCTCCACAGTACAATGTCTACAAAAGCCGCCTTGAGCGTATTCAAAAAATATTTGTTAATCACCTTAACTTTCGCTGTCGGAATAAAATCGATACTTACACAGACAGTTGCACTGAGCACGATCTCTTATCTCTGGAATACAGGCGCATTTTGCTTGACATGGCTTTGTTATATGATATAATAAACAGTAATAGTGACTGTCCATATCTTGTCTCAAGAATCACCTTTCGTACTCCAAAATTCCGTACCAGCAATACTACATTGTTACAGACTCCCTGGCATCATTCAAACACTGTTCTTTCGCGGCTTGCTCGTACATATAATGAACAATTTGGACACATTGACCTCTTTGCGAAATCTAAACTTACGTTTAAAGATTACATCAAGAAAACTATTACGAAATAGAGCAGTTGAAGTTAAATTCACATACAATCATATATTCTCTCATCTATTTCTTCTATATGTATTTTTGAGGCTACTAATATAAATATAAGTACTTAAGTTATTTTATTTAATATATATTATAATTAATTATTTGTATTATGTTTATATATTTAAACATTTAATATGTATATATACATAAGTAAATATATATGTATGTATATATATATATATCTTATATGTTTATATATATATATATATATATATATATATATATATATATATATATATATATATATATATATATAAAGGTAATCTAATATATCATTCTACCTGACTATCTCTCCTGATCTGTAAACTTATGACCACCTTCATTACATTGAATTGCTTATAATTTTGCTTATAATTTATCTATAAGATTGTTCTTTTTCCTTTTCTTCTAACAACAATACACCTACTGTTGTGGTATTCAACACCCTTTGATGTAAATGTTACTTAAAATACTGTTTATGCACAAAATGTTTATTATATTGTTATAATATTATTGTTACAATGTTTATAAATGTTATATGTTTATAAATGTTATGTATGTGAGCACACACGAGACAATGTTGGCGTCCGTACATGTACTGACTTAAATAAAAACTTTAAAGTAAAATGCCTACGCGTACATAATGTGTTCGGTGTAAACTGAACATCTTCCCGCACAACAAGGGAGATAAACTAAAAATACATAAAAAAGTAAAATTATTTGAGAAAAGTTAGGTTTAAAATTATTCTTCATCGCGTTTAAGAATGAGAGTTCGCAATGTAGGAGATGTTGCTCGGTCTTGAGTGTTGAACGCGTTCGGGACCGCGGGTGAGGACGCACGCTCGGTGCTGGCGGCGACGGGTTGCGTTCTCGGGGCGGGCACTGCAGCGGCGCGCTGCGCTCTCGGGGCGGCCAGCGCAGCCACAGGAGCGGAGCTTAGACCTTCCGTGGTTATGTTATCGAGGCTAATACTTGAAGTGATAGCCGTGTTTCTTCTTTGTCGTAGTCGTTTGCAGGCAAGGCATATAGCAGCTATCACAGCCACTCCCACCAGGATGTAAATCGCGACGTAATGATGTATGTCATGGAATGTTATGTTTTCAGCGATCACATTTTGGGATTTTAGGTGTTTTATGTTTTCGTTCAAGGTGGTTAGGTTGGCTTGGAAACTGTCAGCGTCTTTTTCCAACTCTCCTGTTTCTGGGATAGAGAGCTTGATAATTTGGTTAATAGCAGCGATTTCAGGCGTATAAATTTCAGGTCCGGTTTTCAATTCACTCGTAAATATTTTGTGCGTATAGATTGATAATTCTTCACTTTTGATTGAGCAACCGGGTTCCAGCGCAATGACCCCGGCGTCTCTCAGCCGTTCCACGGTAACTTGATTACCGCAAAAAATTCTTACGTTGCATTTGTCGCACGTTGTAAATAAGTAATTGTTCGCTTTATTTAATTGAATAAACATGTTACTGCACCCGGCGATGTTTATTTGGCACTGATTTGTGTAATTATTCTTCAAACACAGATCTTCATCTGAATTTCTTTGGTATATGGGGTGTTTGAGGTGGCATAAATGTGCTGAAAAATCGTACATAATACACTCTTGTAAATCGATAGATGTCATTGGGATGTAGATATCCTTTTCTAAATTAATTGCAATGTAATCTGCAATCGGTTTAATGTTCACAAAATTGTTGGTCCGTTTATGAGGAATCGGTATAACTCTGTATAGGTTGTAATTATCTCGGCTGACCAATGGTAATCTGATTTCAAAAATCAAGTACTTATTAGTCATCTTTGTTTTCACTTGAAGAAACTGATATATTTTTTGAAAATCTGATTGTATGTTTGATATAGGTAGAGTCAAGTCTTTAGGTATTTGTCCAGATATTGTGTTCAGTTCATTTCTCAACTGAGTAGGGCTTATGAGATGAACATCGAACCTTCCATGATATATATCGGTGATAGCGTCTGTCATCATGTTTTGTATGCTTTTCAAGTTCAGCAGTAAATTGTTCGCTATGACAGACATAGCCAAAAATTGGTTGATGTTATAAAGTTTTTCCAATTCTGTTTTTACTTTGTTTATGTTGTTGTCTAAAGCACTAATCTGTTTGTTGATAATCTTGTGTTGTTTTCTCATAACTTCTTCCATTCTTTTCATCATGTTGTATTCCGCTTCGATAATAGACGTTTGATTCTTGAACAGGGAAGCCAAATGATGTTCATTCTGTCTGACGAGTGTGATATCTCGCTCATACTTTTCTGCGAAATGGTCGTCGAGTACTCCGAAGAGACTATTCGCGATATACCCGACACCATTGATAAGCCCTCGTTTCTGTCTGTCGTGCCCGGTTTGTTTACCTAGCAACATGCGGTTGTAGTACTCGAGTTCACTGGTACTATGACGTAACTGCAATAGCATCGCATCACAATGACCGTCACCCTTCATTGTTTTACATATGTTTTCCATGTGTTTTTGATATTTGTCAAGTGCTTCGGAGCCTTCCCAAAATGGTTGCATGATGTAGTAAATTATGAGCTTCCAGTTGTCTCGAATAAGTTGGATGTTGGAAATAGCGTCGAAATACAAAGATTGATTAAGTTGCTGAATAGTATAAGCACCCTGCGTAGGTATGATTATACTCAAGAAAAATAGCAATGCAGCACAAATTGACAGCAGACTTGTTTTAGCTGTTATCTGGTGTTTTCTGAGTTCAGGTTCCTGGTTTCCTCGCAGTGGCAGTATGGATAATTTGGTAACTGGCCGTTTTAAAATTCCGTTTTTTGTTTTCAAGGAGACAACTCGAACGAAACCATCTTTTCCTGGGTGTAAATGTATAACTCGACCTGTCAACCATTTTCCAGCAGGTAAGTTATCTTCTTGAATTGTCACCAATTGACCGACTTGAATGTTAGATGTCGACTGCTTCCATTTGTTTCGAACGGTAAGTTGTAAGTTCAGTTAAGAATTCTGGATCAGAAATATTTTCTTTAAGCTCCTTTATGTTTTGTTCTAGAACACGGCTAGCACCGACGAAGTTAGTGCCGTTGTCGCAATATATGTGACGCGGCGCGCCTCGACGAGCTGCCATACGACGCAGTGCGGCCAAAAATGCTGACGACGTGAGGTCGGACACGAGTTCGAGGTGCACGGCCTTTGTTGCCATGCACACGAATACAGCCACATAACCCTTGTTTGTTTTTATGCCTCGACCCTTGCTTGCCTTGACGTCCACGTAACCCGTGTAGTCAACTCCTGTATGATAAAAAGGACGGGAGGGGTTTGTCCTGGCTTCAGGCAAATCACCCATGATCTGGGGTTGTATGCTGGGAGCGTGACGTCGACAGGTTATACAGGTTCTTATTAACCTTTTAATTGTTCGATTTCCGCCAACAATCCAGTACTTTTGTCGAATGAACGCTGACGTCAATCGCGCGCCGCCATGAAATGTGATCTTATGCGCGCTATCAATCAGTAATTGTGTAAAACGGCTTCTGTTCGGCAAAATTATTGGATGTTTCATATTATATGTGATATTTGCGAGTTCTAATCTGCCATCTACTCTTAAGATGCCATTTTTATCTATGAACGGATTCAACTTTGATAATGGGCTCTTTTTCGGTACTTGTTTATTTTGCGTAATGTTATTGATATCGTCTTTGAATTCGGCTGATTGCACATGTTTTATTAATAAATTAGTAGCTGTTTGTAACTCTGATATTGTTAGGTAGGGCTGCCTCTGTTTAGTTTTATCTTTTTTGACTCGTAGAATCCATGCTAATATTCTTACTAAGCGTGTAAATGAGCTTTGTTTTTCTATAAGTTGCGGTAAAATGTAGCTTTTTTCTTCTTCTTTTGCTTTCTGAGCTACTAAAACTTGCTTTTCCTCTTCGTTGGTTGTATACATAGGGTTGTTTTCTACATCTTGTTTATATGTTAGTAGCCAAGAGGGCCCTTGCCACCAAAGCGGGTGGTCTTTTAGTTGTCCTGCTGTTAAGCCCCTGCTGGCGCAATCTGCTGGATTTTCCTCCGACTTCACATAGCGCCAGCAGGCGGGGGGCATATTTGTGATCACTTGTTTGACCCTGTTCGCCACGAAAGGCTTCCATCGTGCAGCGTCTCCGTGCAACCAGCCTAGAACAGCGGTGGAGTCACACCAACCAAAGATCTGTATGTTGTACGTACTAAGGCAGTTGACAACCTTGTTCATCAATTTTGATAATGAAACTGCGGCATTTAATTCGAGCCTTGGTATAGTGATAGGCTTTTTGATGGGTACTAGTCGGGTTTTGGCGGCAACTAACACCACCATTGAATGATGATTTTTGCTTGTTCTGCAATATATGGCGCAGCCGAATGCTCTCTTCGACGAATCGCAGAAACCATGCAATTCGACTAAGCTATTTTCTTTTGTTCCCAACCATCTAGGTATTTGTAGTTGATCAATCATTTTGATGCCATGTTTCATGTTTATCCATTCTACTTGGATTTCGTCGGGTAGTCATCATCCCACTGAAGATTCAGCTGCCATACTTTTTGGAAGAGAAGTTTTAGTCTCAGTGTTATAGGAGCAATCAAGCCGATTGGATCGAACTGTTTCGAAATTTCTGACAAAAGACTTCGCTTTGTACATTTCTTCTCAGAGTCAGTAATTTTGGTTTGGAATGTGAAAATATCTTGTTTAGAAATCCAGCTGAGTCCAAGTGTTTTCGATGAATGTGCATGTTTAAAATTAAAATTTTTGTTGTCTTGGTTGTTGTTGATGTTAAGTAGTTCCTCTTTGTTGGAATTCCATTTTCTTAAGTTGAATCCTCCAGACTGAAGCAGGCGAATAAGCTCTTGTTGTAATTCCAATGCTGACGTCATAGAATGGGCTCCATACAGCAGGTCGTCCATGTACATTGCTTTTTCCAGGGCCTGGATTGCAGTGGTGGAGTAATCATTTCTTCGTTCATCGTTTGCTTATCGTTTAAGCGTCATCATGGCTAAAAATGGGGCAGCTTTTGTGCCATAGGTGACTGTGCATAGTTGTAAGTCTTGCAATGCAGAACTTGGACAATCTCTCCATATTATTTTTTGGACAAGCTGGTCATCTTGATGAATCCATATTTGGCGAAACATCTTTTCAATGTCAGCCGTAAATACTATCTCAAACTGTCGCCACTTGATCAACAGTTCCTGAAGGTCTTGCTGTAAGTTTGGACCTGCATACATAACATCATTGAGACTCGAACCTGTTGAAGTCTTGCATGAGCCATTGAACACTACTCGCAAGGCCGTAGTTGTCGATTCCGGTCGTTGTACGCCGTGGTGAGGTATATAACATTCGAGTCGACCCATTGAATCAGCGGGTTTCATATGTCCAAGCGCTAGGTACTCATGAATGAAGGCTTTGTAATTTTGCTCAAAACTGTTGTTTTTTCTAAACTTTCTTTCCATGCTTAAAAAATGTGCGATTGCCTTATTTTTGGACGAACCCAATTGTTTTTCATATCCTGGTTTGAGTGGGAGTCTGACCTCGTATCTACCATCACTCAGTCGTTTTGTTGTTTCTTCATAGTATTGAATACATCGAAGGTCTTCTTCTGATAAGTCGAAATGCTCAGTAATGTCCTCTGTTTCCCAAAATTTTTCGATTTGTTCGATGTTGTTCAAAATTACATTGCATTGGTATGTTTTTGTATTTCCACACAAAATCCAGCCGAGCCGAGTCTGTTGGGCAATCGGCACAGATTGATCTTCTTCTCTGCATATTCCAGGTAATATAATGTTCGAATATATGTCAGCACCCAGAAGAAGATCCACCGGTCTGCTGATGTTGAAGTCTGGGTCAGCTAGTTGTATATTGTTCAAGAATGACCACGAAGGTTTAGCAAATGTTGAATTTGGTAATTGTTTGATAAGATTTTGCATGATAAATACCGACGTGTCAAAAACGTAGTTGTCGTCCATTGATGAGCATGTTAAGTGAAGTACTCCTTTACAGCTATTAGGTTTAACACCAACCCCATAAATACTACCTTTGCAGTTTCGTCTAGGAAGTGCTAGTCGCTGGGCCGCATTCTCAGATATTATTGAGACTTGCGAAGCCTGATCAATAAGTGTGCGCATTATTTTATAAGTACCATCTGCGGCCCGCACCTTGAGCATCGCTGTCGCTAATAAAATTTCTGTCATATCGTTGTTTTGTTGAGTAACGTTGGAGTTACTTATGCTGACACGATTATTTTCCACTTCTGACGACATCGACGACTTGTTTTTCACATTCGCATTGTTTTGCGGCTTGTTTGAATATGACCGGAAGGCGTCATGTAACATAGTGTTATGATTTTCGTTGCATTCACGACACCGCTTCTCTGAAAGGCATGCTTTACCTTGATGATTAAAAAGACAGTTTTGGCAAACATTTAATTTTGTTACTGTTTTACGTCTTGTTTGTGGAGACATGTCCAAAAATTCTTGACAAAAGAATAGTCCATGATCCTTACTGTAGAGTGGGCATGTATATGTTATGAAATTCTTGTTTTTAACAGCTTGTAAGTTAGGTGACGCAGAACTCCTCGACGAGATGTTGGATGGATGCTGGGTTGTTACTCGATTACTGGCGTATGATTGTTTGAAATAATTCGATTTCGAAGTTTTCGGATACTGATTTTGATTACTTGGAATGTGTGATTTTTGATGAGTGTTGTCTTGTTTTCTACGTCCAGACTCCATCGACGTAAATGTTTGTTCCAGTTAAGAAATGCGAAGGCGTTAAGAAGTCCAGGTCCTCCACATCCTCAGTTAATGCACACAGCGGCCTAGTATTAAGGCACGCTTCTAGCTGAGTAAGTATCGTTGAGTACTCTTCGAATCTTAATTTTTGCTCTCCGATAACACGTTTGATGTGATATTTCAGGCTCTTGACCGCAGCCTCCCAGAGTCCTCCCGCTGATGGCCAAGAAGGAGCGTTGAAGTGGAATTCGATCTCCATTTTCGTAAGTTCAGTTAAGAAGTTCGTTCATGGCGGCGCGCGATTGACGTCAGCGGTGTCGTGAATTTTCTTGATGTTGGTCACTGATGCTTGATGGGGAACTGGCAAACTCATTAATATGTTCATGTGAGAAGTGAATATAAGTTTCGGGTTATTGTATCGGTTGTTTAAAATGTCCCAACAGATAATATAATTATCCGAGCTGATCTGTAGGTGTTGTATCAGCCGCTCCGCCTCTCCCCTGACCTTGCTCTTTAAAAACTGCATTTTTTGAGCACTGGAAAGGGAGCGATTGTTATGAATGCATTCCGTAAATAGATCTTTGAACGGAACCCATTGGTGATAATTCCCGTTGAAGATAGGAATATCAAGCTTTGGTGTAAATTGTTCCTGATGAGCTGTTGACCATATTTTCTTGTTGATTGCCTTCTTTATGTCACTAAAGCTTCTCTCATGGACGGAAAATTCTTGTTCGTATGCTACGTTAGTACCCTCCAGCTCGCTGTCGAGCTCCCAATGAAGGGAGTCGATACGGTTCCATCTAACACTCAAGGTCTTCAGAGCATCTTCTAATTCCCAGTTATCGGTTAACAAATCCAAGTCAATGTTTGCTAACGTTCGCTTTAAAGCTCTAAAATTGCTACTTTGCTTACGCAACATCTCATCCAGCTTGCTGTTAATACTGCGGTCCACCTGTCGCGGTGTTGCTGACGACGTTGATGGCGGGGGGTTGAAATTTGATGGTTTTATGATCGGAGTAGAGGGTCTTGATTTGTCTTCAGTTGGTAAGAAACTTTGTATGTAGTCTTTTGTTTTTGTATAAAAATCAAGAACTTGTCCGTATTGATTCTGTACAATGTAGGAATGGTTTTCATCACACAACTCACGTACCTGGAGGTGAAGGTTGTGAAATTCCTGCCAGTAAGTATCCAAAGTCTCCAGTCGTTTTTTTGATATGAGCAGCAGTCCTACGGTCGGCGCCGTCCTTTTTGAAGTTGCTGAGCAGCTGCTCCATACCAGAAACCATCTGTTGTTGATTTGCTTGTAAATCTTCCATGATGTTGTTGTTGATAGGTATTCGCTAAGTGTTAAGTGAACTGATCGCTTCCTGTTTGCGGTCCGTGTGACGATGAACTTCCAGCGATATATTATGCGCCTTCTCAATCTGCCTGGTGAGACCCGCTTCTGGG